ACAAATCAAATTACTGATGAACTGAGTCTTGTTGTGCCCTCATATACTGTATATTATGTTTATTGGCATGTTTCCGTCAGTTGTTGTCAGTTCAGTCATCAGCATGAACTGTTCCAGTCTCTCAGGCTTTGTTTCAGCTGCTGTGGGTTATTTTAAAAGATGGACAAAGCAGGACGGGATGATTCACATACCGCTACTGACGGACACACAACACACACTAGGGTGGAGAGGAGACAAATTTGGTTCTGACAAGAAATGCTGTACAGGAATATTCTGAATTTTTTTTTTAAATGACTTTATTTATATAAGTAAGATACAAGTAAAAGCATTTCATATTTCCGCTGCATATTCTCTAAGATTTTAGTATTATTTCAAAGAAAAAACATAAAGCAATAAACATGTAAGGTCCACAAAGGTCATAGAAGATGAACAACACAGTCCAGAAGAGCTTTCATGACAGTCTCAGATTTTTATCACTGTTTCTTCATAAATATGGAAATATTCCTTCACCTGAAGAATAGACATTTTCTCATATGACCTCAAGGTGGCAGCACTTAATAATACAGTTAAAACAGTCTCTCAACAGCCTCTTAGTGACCAAGATTACATGGATATCAAAGCACTGTGAGGCAAGGGAGGGGGGACTCAAAATGTTTCTAAACTTAAAACGTTTTTCTTATTACACTCTTAAAAATAATGGTGCTTCAAAAGGCTCTTCACAGAGATGCCATAGAAGAACCATTTTTGGTTCCACAAAGAACCATTCAGTCAAAGGTTCTTTAAAGAACCATCTCTTTCTTACCTTTTTATAATCTGAAGAACCTTCTTTTGCCACAAAGAACCTTTTGTGAAACATGAAGGTTCTTCAGATGTTAAAGGTTCTTTATGGAACCATTTAGACAAAAAGGTTCTTCTATGGCATCGTGAAGCACCTTTATTTTTAAGAGTGTACGTCAGTTAATGTAACAGATGCTGTTTATTCAACACAACTTTCAGATGAGAATATACACATACAGTACAAGTCTGATGACAGAAAAATGTTAGATTCATAATAATCATATATTTATGTAATCGCTGATATAATGATTACATCATATAAAGGACTTGTTTTTGAAAGAAGCAGAAATATTTTCAGGATCTTGTTTTCACAGTGTCAGAAGGGTTTGAGTAGCTAAGATATAATTTGTTTATGTTTTTTAAAATCTTGTTATGTATCCAATTGCTCCTTGTTTTTCTCCTGCTCTCTTCTTGATGTTTTCCAGTTTTTTGGCCTTTTCAGACTCATTAATTTCCTTCAGCTTCTCAATCAGAAAATCAATGTGCTGAAGTATGAACAGTGAATCAGTCTTGAGTGCGATCATCTGCAGAGTTTCCACACAGTGAAAAGCTTCCATCACCAGCTTTATTTTCTCTTTCTCTAATTCTTGCAGTTCTTCTTCCAGCATCTTGACCAAAGACTCACCATAAATAATCTTACCATCATATTTCTTCTTTAAATCTTTAAAAGTCCTCTTCTCCTTCTTTGTATTTGCTACATATATTTGTGCTGATTTGATGTGTTTGGTGTAGTGGCATTTATTAGTGCACACTGTACAGTGATTAACTTTCATCATGCTGCACCACGAGAGATCACTGGTCCACCAGCATCCTGGATAATGACAGTTCTCCTCACAGACGGTGCAGCACATCGCCATCTTAGCTTTAGAAGGATCAATATCAACCCATTCTTTGTAGGGCACTTCAACTTCATACTCAAAGTTCTTGTTTTCTTTGACATCTTGCTTGTTCTGCTCCACAGCTTCTTGAGTTTGTTTCAGCTCATTCTGCTTCAGTTCCATCATTTGAACTCGTGATTGTAGATTAGAGATTTTTGCCTCCAACTGCTTCCGATTATTCAACACATCTAGAGTCATCTCCAAGGATTTTGGTTTTATTGTGTTAAGAAACTCGAAGAATTGTTCCATTCCACAAAAACTGCGATCCCATGATTGTTCATGTATCATTTCATATTCTTCATCATCAGCATTGTCTGACTGCTGATTGTCAAACAGGAAAAACACTGGCTGATTCTTGTCATTTACGGCACACTTGATTTTAGCCTCTTTAACAGCCGTCAGGGCATTTTTAGGTGGAGCTCCACTTGAGTGTGTGAAGAGCAAGACAATGTTTTCAGCAATATCTCTTCCAAATAAAGACTGAACAGCATCAAATATGTATTGTTGTCTGTCAGAGAGTCGATTGTGGGTTGATTTAATCACCAGACACACTGCATGTATTTCATGAAACCCTTCAGCAGATTTACTTAATCTGTGCAAACTCATGGTGATCTCTTTATCAAGCTCAACTCCATGAGTGTTTCCATATCCCGGAGTGTCGATGATTGTTAAATGGATTGGACTCTCTTGTAGATAAAACCCATAAACAGTGATGCTGGAGGTCTGACTGTGAACTTGTGTTTGGTCGCTCTGATCATCTGTGATCTCAAACCAAACCTTGTCTTCTCTCTTTACACCCAACATGTAGTTGATCATCGTATTGATCAGGGTTGTTTTTCCTGTTCCTGTTTCTCCCACCAGCAGAACGGTTTTATGGGGTTTGTTTTTGTCTCTATTGCCAAAGGTCCTTTTTCTATATGGTTCAGATTGATCCAAATTGTCTGTCCTTGTTTGCAGACGATATTGAGCAGGATTTCCATCTTCAATTAAGATGCTTTTCTTTATCAGATCATTTTTGTTCTGTATATAAAGCAATACACAATAACAAAACACAATAAAAATATAGATGAACATGTATAAATGATGAACAATATTACATTTATAAATCATAATCAAATTATAAACATCCCTAACAATAAAGGCCCTTTCACATAACTCCACCCAGAAAAGGCAAGCATTATACATTTATTTTTATTTGTCATTTCCCCCTTAAATTTTAAATGACATTTTCTAATTGTTGAATTATACTGGTTTGTGTTTTAAAGTTTTTAATCCCTCTCCTCGAATCTGATTGGCTGAGAGGCCTTCCAGGAAGTGCTGATATTTCACCAGTATCAACACGGGGCTGTTCACCATTTGTATCACTACTCTTGTTTCTGTGCGAGACAGGCAGCATTTTTCACAGCAAAAGGCAATGGCAGAAGAGCAAACCCATTATAATTTTTGAAATACTACTGTGTCACGGAATGTAGTTTTTTCAGGCAAGAATGTAGTTAACCTCAAGTATGTAGTTTATTAATGCATTTTTTCCTGGTCAAAAATTTTCTATGACACTTGTGAGGTCTGGCCTCAGGTTGATGAATAATGTGAGCAGCTCAGTGTCTGTCATTCTAACATTGGGCTCATGAATACTAATCACATTGTCTGCGTTTGCCCATAATCTGGTTTGCTAAAGTGAAAATGCAGAAGGTGAGTGCTAGCCAATGGGATTATGAGATCAGAAAAATCTAATTAAATTTGTTTAATTTGTTTAAGTCTCACCTGGATGTGCTGTCCTGTTTCCTCAAACTTTCCTTTAATGCTTTCTTTGTGTTTAAGTTTCTCTTGCAAGGACTTCAGTGGTGTATAGTGCTCCTCCTAGAATTTAAATAAAAAAATCTAAGACATCAGAGATTTCTGTAATATGTTCATTTATATAATACACATATAAGCAAACTGGTACTGATAAATTTGCATGTTTATGACAAGCTTTATTCCTCAGAAATAAATCTGTCTTACTTTATCAGATGGAACAGCTTCACTGATGGGTCTGAATGTGTGTTTGTCGTGTTGTTGAGAAGTTACACACTCCACACACACCGGCTGTTTGTCCTCCAGACAGAAGAGTTTGAGTTTCTCACTGTGTAAACTGCAGATCTCCTCAGATCCTGATGAACAACTCTCATTTCTCTCCTTCAGGAACGACTCACACAGGTTTTGTAACGCAAGATTAACTGGAGGTTCAAATTTTGAGGATCTTCTCCTGCAGACAGGACACTCCTGAGTATCTGTGGTTCTCCAGGACTGATGAAGACACTCTTTACAGACATTGTGACTACATGACAGAAGAACAGGAGTCTTAAAGATATCACAGCACACAGGACAAGAAAGCTCTTTTGCAGACACATGTAGAGAATCCATTTTCTCTGTTCGAGCTCATGCAGTCTGAACTTTACTTTCACTTTCTCTTCAATCGTTAAAAAAAATGAATCTTCAAGAGAATCACGAAGATCTGCTGTCCGTTCAGAAACAAACTTCGCATAAATCCTTGTTGAATCCTTGTTCTATTCGTTCTTCACTGATCGCTGATTCCTTTCTCTTTTCTAAAGAGAGAACAGTGTCATGACAGAAAGGAGAAATAACTCGTTAGTCTTTTCCTGGTAAGTGTTGTGAGAGGGTGGAGTTTCTGATCACGTGGTTCTGTTAATACAGGTCAAAGAACAACAACATGGGCCGTATTCACACACACACACACACAGGGTCCCTTCTTACGAGAGCCGAGATGCTTCAGATCCAGCTTCAGAACAGATGGAGAGACAGTAACTCCAAACACTGACAATCAGCATTACAGGCAGATGTGTGTTTATCACTGGAACTTCGTCAGGTGAACAAATCATTTTTACAAAGGGTTGTTCATGACAGACCCTGGAGAAATTCAGTGAACTTCCATACACTTACCAACAAATAAAGTGCAATATAAAACACACAAAGTGTCTTGAGTCTGCTTATCAATATTTGTGTTTCTGATTGTTTTGTGTGTGAAAAAAACTAGCTTCTCGTATCTTTTTGTATTCTATCTATTTTTTTTATTTATTATACAATTAACAAAAGCAAAAAAAAAAAGGCCTCTAACATTACCTTGTTCTATTCTTTTTCTGTTCTATCTGTTTTCTTTTTATTTATTATATAATAATAAAAAAGATATCATTGCTCTCTTGTTGATTTTGATTGCTTCCATTGTCCTCATTTGTAAGTCGCTTTTGGATAAAATGTTAAATGCTAAATGTAAATGTGTGTGTGTTGTTTGATTCAAGGTTTTCTAAAATTACACTTGAGAAATTTTCAATGCAGGTTAATTTTGAATGTGTTTTGCATGTATCCTGAAGAAATCCTAGTGGCACACAAAGATCCACAAATAAACTTATTTTAGCACTATGAGTCCTCCTAGTGGCAGTCTACGGAGCCCCTAAAGGGACATGGTGGTGGAAAAAAATCAGA